CGTAACTGTCATTTGGAATTCCCTGTGTTAACCTTTTCAAGGTTGAATGATTACAAAAAACATTCCGACTGACACTTTCCTCATCTGGTAAGCATTGCTGTGATTGGTCGGACGAAAGGTCGTTCTGACATAACCCGTAATGGGATGTCCTAAGATCTTTGTCAGATCAGATTTAATGAAATTGGTTTATTTAAAATATTGCCTTGAGACAGATGTTTGAGTGTAGCTTATGAGACATGGACGTGCACCACTTTACTAAACCCATGAACACAGACTGGACAAACCATGGATTCTGGGAGATTTGGGCCATTAATCCTGGCATGGCTAAGGGAGGCAACTCTGCATTATGAATGGCATACCTTAGTCTACACAGCCATCCCGTTTTAGAGATGAAACAATAAAAACTCCGCCTTTATTCCTGTTAAGAACTATTCTGTTGCCTTGTCAGTAAAATAAAGCTCACACACACACACACACACACACACACACACACACACACACACACACACACACACACACACACACACACACACACACACACACACACACACACAGCCCTTTAGGATACATTTATGACATATTTTGTAAGTTTGATATAGGTGACAGGTAATCAATTACAAAACCACACCTCCTATTGTGATATGTATAACACAAATAACATGACTACCAAATGCAAAGTGCTCTGTGGATATTTTGTGTACCTATGTACCAACTCATAATCAAGGAACACACCCTCCTTTCCAAAGTGCTGTATCAACACGAGACTGAGTGTGTGGCTCACCGGAACTGAACCGTAAGGTCAAGGACACATGTCTATGTACAAGGACCAGCTGCTGAAGTCTTGCCCTGATTCCACAGAACAATTCCTGGATTTCTGGTAACAATACTACCTCGGAACACAATGTCAACATGCACCAATACTACAACACCTCTTCAGAGTAATGCCGAGACTATGCTTGTAAGTGGACAAGGACTAAAGCATCTAAATATACAATAAATGGTTATCTAATGATTTTCAGACCATATTCAGACCACATAAACATTTAGTTTTCCAATTTCCTAATCACTGTAAAAATGGAACAACAAACAAATAATCTTGTCAGGGTTAATCAAGGGTGTGAATCTTTGCAATGGAACTAGACTTGTTTCAGACTGCCCTTGCACTGCAACATCTTTATGGTGAATTTACAAATGACAGGCATTTCATTTTTGTGATTTGCCAGTGTATCTTTAATTAGCTAATAACCGTGCTGGGAGTGCCCTTTTGTGTTATGACAAATCTAATGCTGATGCCCAGCAGACAGTGTTTGCTAAAAATGTAGGTTTGAATCCCAACATGGACACTGTATGTGACCAGATGAAGGTAACCCCTATCTACAAAATACCGGTTGATTACAAACACTCTGCAATTCCCACAGAGGTGAGTGAGTGAGTTGGGTTTAACGTCGTTTATAACATTATTCCAGTTATATCACGGCATGTCAGCTTAATGTGGGAAGAAAGTCCGAAGTGATGCAGGTCTCAGACGTTTACCACTTCGGTGAAACCCACGAGTAGAGTATGGTGCTGACAAACCTAGAAACATAATTGGGGCGAACCGAAATTCGAATCCACAATCATAGGTTTCTGGCGTGTCCAAGGGACGCAACTCTGCACAGTGAATCGCGGCGCCTTAGACGACTGGGCCACCCATCCCCCAATTCCCACACAAACATAACTCCCAATAAGGCCAGGAAACAAACGTATGCTCACCAGAGATGTATTTTCAAAAATTGATCTGGTCACTTCATCTATTTTCGATACTTTCTCAGCAAGAAAAAAGTTATCAAAAAAATGTTTGACAACTACAAAGGCATAGTTTAGTCAAGGGAAGACAACTCCTTGTTAAAATCCAGACAATATTCACAGAACCAATATTAAGTATGACATTTGTAACAGACAAAACCAAATATTATTGCTTATCCTGAAAAATTGTTGACACAGCATGTTTTAATGATCTGCATGATGAACACTTTTCCCACTTTTTCAAGGCCTAACAGGTTTTTTTTGCTCAAACATAATATTTAATGTCGCATCGGCAATATTTCAGCCATATATTACTTCTTCATAAATAAGAATACAAATATATTGAAAATAAATAGTATCACTCTCAACTACACGCCATACGGACAGATCAGACAACATGGATGTGGAACTGTATTGGTCAATACTGTGTGCTTTCAAGGGACTTTCTACATTTGTACAGTGATATCATACACAATGCATCTTCAACCAGAACACGCAAGTTCTACCACAGTCATTCATGTCAAGCCTCTCTGGGACAATACAGAACTGAATCGTCCAAGAGTTGCTACAATAAAGAGGGCGGTCGGGTAGCCTAGTGGTTAAAGCGTTTGCTTGTCACCCCGAAGACCCGGGTTTGATTCCCGAAATGGGTACAATGTGTGCAGCCCATGTGTGGAGTCTCGCCGTGATATTGCTGGAAAATGGCTAAAAGCGGCATAAAACCATACTCACTCACTCACTACAATAAAGCTCTGCAGGGTCATTTTTACAAATAGTTAGCAAATAAAGGGAGACAACCTAACCGTAGTCTCTGTTAAATAGTTGGCCTGTCTTCTTTAGGACTCATCAAATATCCTGTGAAGATTCGGGGTAGAAAAGGTCTTCAGTAACCCATGCTTGCCGTAAAAGGAGACTATGCTTGTAGTAAGCGGCAATCAGGTGGTCAGGCTTGCTGACTTGGTTGATGCATGTCATCGTATCTCAAATGTGTGATCAATGCTCATGATGTCAAACACTGGATCGTCTGGTCCAGACTCGCTTACTTACAGACCGCCATCATATAGCTCGAATACTGCTGAGCACTGCATTAAACAACAAACAACAGAACTTCATAGGAAGCCACATTTGTTGGCCTTTATATTCCCTTGAGGAGCAAAGCATCTGATTTCTGGGGCTAAAAAATGAACAATAACATGCAGTTCTGAGTGGAGAAATTAGGGTGGGTCGTCAAGGGTGAATTCTGGATATCAAACACAATGAACAACCAGGTAAATGATTAATTATATTTGTGCGATTTTTGCGAGACCAAATTACATTGGGGATTTGGCAAGCTTGGGAAGGTGTATTTAAATAAACTGACAAATATTGGGTGGGATTCATTACAAAGTGCCCTCCATGTCGTAACTATGGTAACTATGGTTATCTGTTCAAACATAGAAATCGCGGTCTTCCAACCGATGTGTTATGACCAGTCTTTAATAACATGATTCCAACATGACCTGACAAACCGACCTTGTCTAAAACATTATGTACACTCCACTGTGCTCCAACATCAAGGCAATTACACTATGTACAATTCTGTTAGGCTCTTTGTACAACACTATCAGCATCATCATCATTGCCATCATCGATATCATCGACATCCACATCGACATCCACATCATCATCATCATCATTGATATCAACATCATCGTCGTTGTCGATATCATCGACATCATCATCATCATCATCATCGACATCATCCACATACACATCCACATCCACATCAGCATCATCATCGACATCAACATCATCGTCGTTGTCGATATCATTGACATCATCATCATCGGCATGAACATCATGATCATCTTTGTCGTCGATATCATCGACATCAACATCATCATCGACATCATCATCATCATTGACATCATCATCATCATCCTGTACAGAAAGGGAATTCAATTGTGGCATCATACGGTCCTGCATTGTTTAAGTTCTTCATGCCTTCCAGCAATGTTCGATGGTCATATTCAATGTCCAGTTGGACAGTTAATTCCCTCAAGCTAGAACTAACCTCATTTACAACTAACAGCAAGCTTACTGCATCACCCACACCCAGATGGTTCAAAACTGTAACCTTCATCATCCCAGATATATCTCACTTCAACAAGACACCAACACTGGTTTTTCTCATCGACATTTGTTAAGGGAGGTAACCCCAATAGTTATCTCCCCTTAACTGACCACCCGAGGCCATTTCTCAATATGGTTTCTTGCATTTGTTAATATGTAACACATCAATAAAATACTTGTTCTTGGTGTGCATATACTGATCTAATCTGAAATCTTACCAAGTTTTTCTTGTTAAACAATTTGTGAATCTGTAAGAAACGGAAGCTACTAGATGTCTCAGCCCTGCTGATGTCTCGAAACACTGGTGCTGTGTGTTCTTCATGTAAAGTCAGGAATGAAAGTGCAGCCTAACAACATTCCACTCCTTCCTGAATAGTGTCAGTACATCAACGACACATCACCTGTCTGCAGAGTGCCCCCCCCCCCCCCCCCAGCATGCTGTAATACCCTGGAGGCCAGGTCTGTAGTTCATCAATGCTCTGTACATCTGATATATAATCACATACCCAGATACTTACAACTTGCAAAACACAAACTACAAAAGCATGCAGAGTTCAACACGCAGTGAGAATATGAACTACTATATCCCTGATTGTTGTGACTTTCTCCTTAATGCCATGTAGATTCTCACAGAAACATATACTCAGGTGCATAAGAAAGTATGTAACAGTGACATCAATGCTTCTTTCTACAAGTCAGGAACAAATTGCTAATCAATCCTGTTTAAGTATTTGATCAGAATAAAATATTTACAAAAGAATAAATAACACTCAGCACATTATTTTTCATCTATGTAATGTGCCGAGTATTTTAATTTTCAGGGATCCAAACTTTAAATGACTTATTCAAGTAATGCACTCATTCCACTATATAGATACCGTATTTCCTCAATTAGATGCCTGACCCCCAATACATTCCAGCACTAATCGATGCTGGGTCACACCTCTTTTCCCAAAGATAGAAGTCAGGCCCCTACTAGGCGCCGTACACTAATACTGTGACGTGGTGATTATAGGCTAAAAAATAATAGTCATGGTCCTCAGGCACCACCCTCATCATCATAAGTTCGCCGCACGTTTCGTTTTTATTTCCATTTTTAAAAAAAAATAAATCCTTAAAAATACCTAGTCCAACAGTTGTCAAATACTGTATTCTACTCATCAAGGAATTCATTTATGTCGCGAAGCCCTTTACCAGGTTGATTGTATACAACTGTTTATTTGGTTACGTAACTGTTTTATTTGGTAACATACTAGTTTGAACAACCATAAAACAAAGAAACACTGCCCGCCCGCACTATATTTTCAAAAGCCATTGCCTGAGAACAAATTCTTTTATTTTTTTAAGCCATAATCACTGATAATGACCATGTCCATGTACCCTTTGTGTGACCGATTCCGCAAGCAGTCAGTTGCCACGGTGCCAGCATGAAACAGAACAGACACCATGTCTCTAACAGAGGAAATAAGGTATTCTTGACAACAGTGAGTTGTGACTCTAAAAGTGGTTTTTTCTGTTTGCCTGTTTGTAGTGTTGTGTAGTGATTGAAATATGATAATACTCAAATGTGATATCTCTGATATCTCACTATTCATTGGTAAGGTGATATCACTGTCAAAAGCACTGTTCATATCACAGTACTTATAATATACCTGTAAGTTGATATCATCGTGTTACCACATAGTTATCATGTTGATAACTCTTTTCTTGCCAGTCTTGATATCTGTGCAAGGTGATATTATTCATTTATCATATCACTATATTGATAACACTATTCATCTCCCTCAGTAAGATGATATCACATATTTATCTTTTATCCCTTTTATTCTTGTCTCAGTGATTCTCTGTAAGATGAGATCCTAATGAAACACAATATCTGTGCATCTCAATAAGACTGCTCGGAGGCCATCAGCCGGGATGTCTGCTGTTTGACAAAGTGCTCAATCTGCCGGCATCTGGACACTTATGATAATCCCTTGTACTGGAGTAGAACAGTCAACTGAAACAAACAATGTCGGACATGTCATACTGATTGGTCAGTTTACTAATCATACACTGCACATTTGGTTACAAGGTGAGGTGCTTGTACTAGTGCTAGTCCACTATAGTGCCAGCACACTGAGATACCATGACCCAGTTTAACATGAATACCCCAATCAGACATAGTATACTGACTCCGAGCTGACCTGTCCTTGTTTTAGCCCCTTAAAACCGAGCGCCAGACAGGGTAACAACAAGTACCATCTTTCAACTTTTTTTGGTATGTCGCGACCGGGGATCGAACACTTGACCTTTCACTCTCCAGGCGGACGACCTACCACGAGACCACGGGGCAGTCCATTTGGTTACAAACACAATGTAGTGATACCAAATTAAGAGTCAAACAGCTCTACGGTGAACATACAGTATGTTTATGTTCTAATTATGTTTTCTCGCTGACTGTTCTACTATTTTCAGACCGCCCCTGTGGTCGAGTAGATCAAGCGTCTGTCAGAAAGGGGTAGGTCAGGGTTCGATCCCCAGCCATGTCACACCAAATGACAAAGATTGAACTTGTTGTTCCCTATCTTTGAAACTGTATTATTAAGATATACTATTCTGAATACAGGAATCAATCACGCAATATCCTGGGGATGGCTGGGACTTGTGTCACAGACGTACAATTGCAGTAGACAAATTTTGTTTTTCAGTATTTTCTGGAATAATGTATTTTTTCTGAACAATCCCTGGCTCCTCTCCTCCAAATGATCCTATTTGTTGGTCCCCAAAGGTCAGTTGTCATGGAAACAATGACAATTGTTAATAGTCAGTTTATGAGGAAACAGATGGATTCCAACACATTAATAAGCTCCTTACCTTGTCCTTGAGTTGCTGACACTGCTGCAGAGCCAGAGTGAAGAGCATGATGGCGTCATTGAGCCACTGGACCACAGTTTCCACCTGCAGAGACAAGCTTGGGCTTAACACACATTTCATTAAAAATAACATTTCAAATAAAAAAAAATGAATTTCCTCCCCTATTCGTAAAAATAATTGGTGTCTTGAAGCATTTTAGATAAATTTTCATCAGGTTTCAGTTTTTATTTACAGCAACAGTAAATGACGGTGGTTTTTTTAGATTTTACTTATTTCTGGTCTGCAGATAAAAAACCCCATTGCTTTTCATTTTTAAACGACATTTTTTCACTTTCAATTTTTTGGTTTGGTTTGTTTGTTGTTTAATGCCACACTCAGCAATATTCCAGCTATATGACAGCAGTGATTAATATCATGAGCATTGATCCACGCAATTGGGATCAATGACATGCATCAACCAAGTCACCAAGACTGACCACCCGATCCCGTTAGTTGCCTCTTATGACAGGCAAAGTCACCTCGAATTTGGTGGATTTGTAAAGCAAGATTAAAATGCATGGCCTTAGTGTAACACACGTGTTTGACATCACAGCTCACCTGGTACCGGGCTGTGACCTCAATCTTCTGGCCGGTGATGTGAACGTGATACAGAGCGAGGATCAACTTGGATGCGTGGATGTAGAAGGAGAGGGCGATGTCGCTCGGCACAGGAGGGTACAAAACATGCTGCAAACACAAAACACATTTTATTTCCTTGTATGAGGTGTATCTGGGTTTTAGAGGCCTTGTATGAGGTCTATCCGGGGTTTAGAGGCCTTGTATGAGGTCTATCTGGGTTTTAGAGGCCTTGTATGAGGTCTATCCGGGTTTTAGAGGACTTGTATGAGGTGTATCTGGGTTTTAGAGACCTTGTATGAGGTCTATCCGGGTTTTAGAGACCTTGTATGAAGTCTATCTGGGTTTTAGAGGCCTTGTATGAAGTCTATCTGGGTTTTAGAGGCCTTGTATGAGGTCTATCTGGGTTTTAGAGGCCTTGTATGAAGTCTATCTGGGTTTCAGAGGCCTTGTATGAGGTCTTTCTTGGTTTTAGAGACCTTGTATGAGGTCTATCTGGGTTTTAGAGACCTTGTATGAGGTCTATCTGGGTTTTAGAGGCCTTGTATGGGTTCTATCTTGGTTTTAGAGGCCTTTTATGAGGTGTATCTGGGTTTTAGAGACCTTGTATGAGGTCTATCTTGGTTTTAGAGACCTTGTATGAGGTCTATCTGGGTTTTAGAGGCCTTGTATGAGGTCTTTCTGGGTTTCAGATGCCTTGTATGAGGTCTTTCTAGGTTTTAGAGGCCTTGTATGAGGTCTATCTGGGTTTCAGAGGCCTTGTTTGAGGTCTATCTGGGTTTTAGAGGCCTTGTATGAGGTCTTTCCGGGATTTAGAGACCTTGTATGAGGTCTTTCTGAGATTTAGAGGCCTTGTATGAGGTCTTTCTGAGATTTAGAGACCTTGTATGAGGTCTTTCTGAGATTTAGAGGCGTCATATGAGGTCATATGGAATTACAGAATGAGCTGTCCCAAATGCATTTAAACCAATCAAACATACTTCCTTTACTTTTTGGAAGAAAGACCTGATGAAATTTAGACGTTTTGTTTCAAGCGTCCAACGTTCTAAATCGAAGACTTTCGCATTATGGCATTGAACCTGCATACGTTTTGTTAAGTGTTAAGTATTGTAACCCACTGTTTTCCCACTGAGCTACTGGTGAAGGTGATGAAAGTTTGTTCAGTTTTAGATGTCATAACTTAGTTTTGCCTATGCTGCACGTTTTTTCTCTCGCATGTTTTGTTTGCATTCCATTTATACCACGACACACTGTATTGCTTCACTGTAAGATGTTTTTTTCATTTTTTCTGTTATTTCTTGCATTTAGACGGTTTAACAGTCAGAGAAAGCACTACCCCTGTATACTTTTAGCGATTAATTCATGATAAATAAAAGGTGATGTAACTTTGTATGTATGTATCGAAACGCATCACCATTGTTAGCCGAGGACATTTCTACTGGGGAGTTAGAATTCTTCAAACCTTGCTGTTTAAATTATCCTAGATATTTTATATTTGTATACAGATCCTGCAATACTCCTTAATGCATATTACTGCTTGTTCTTGACAAATAAAAGAGCTGCGTGAAGGTCTTTGCTTGAAGAAGTTGTCCAACTAGCTGAGAGGCCAACCCTGTCACACAGCTCCCACGTGACCAAAGGAAATGACCACAATTTGTCAATTGATGTCAGCTATGATGTTGTTTCTAGTGTGACGTCACGGCCAACTCGGGGAGTACAACGCAATACAAGCTAGCAGCAGACTCAGCTTACCATATTTCTGTTATTGACAAGGTCTTGTAATGATTTCCGTTTTGGCAGCGTGAGACTTCCTCGGCCCTTCAGCAAACTCTTCATGATGTCATCCAGCAGCTGGAGACAAGACGATCAACACTAACACAGTGACAGTAATGCACACACAGTCAAAGGGGCAGTCGGGTAGCCTAGTGGTTAAAGCATTCGCTTGTCACTCGGAAGACCTGGATTCGATTCCCGACATGGGTGCAATATGTGAAGCCCATTTCTGGTGTCCCCCGCCGTGATATTGCTGGAATATTGCTAAAAACATGTAAAACCATACTCACTCACTCACTCACACACAGTTCAACCTCAGTAATCCAGACTTACTGGACATACAGTTCAACCTCTGTAATCCAGACTAACTGGACATACAGTTCAACCTTACTGGACATACAGTTCAACCTTACCGGACATACAGTTCAACCTTACTGGACATACAGCTCAACCTCTGTAATCCAGACTTATGGGACACACAGTTCAACCTCAGTAATCCAGACCTACTGGACATACAGTTCAACCTCTGTAATCCAGACTAACTGGACATACAGTTCAACCTTACTGGACACACAGTTCAACCTTACCAGACATAGAGTTCAACCTTACTGGACATACAGTTCAACCTCTGTAATCCAGACTAACTGGACATACAGTTTAACCTTACCGGACATACAGTTCAACCTTACTGGACATACAGTTCAACCTCTGTAATCCAGACTTATGGGACACACAGTTCAACCTCAGTAATCCAGACCTACTGGACATACAGTTCAACCTCTGTAATCCAGACTAACTGGACATACAGTTCAACCTTACTGGACACACAGTTCAACCTTACCAGACATAGAGTTCAACCTTACTGGACATACAGTTCAACCTCTGTAATCCAGACTAACTGGACATACAGTTTAACCTTACTGGACATACAGTTCAACCTCTGTAATCCAGACTTATGGGACATACAGTTCAACCTCTGTAATCAAGACATACTGGACACACAGTTCAACCTCAGTAATCCAGACTAACTGGACATACAGTTCAACCTCAGTAATCCAGACTAACTGGACATACAGTTCAACCTCTGTAATCCAGACACACTGGACACACAGTTCAACCTCACTAATCCAGACTTACTGTACATTCAGTTCAACCTCACTAATCCAGACTTACTGGACATACAGTTCAACCTCAGTAATTAAGACTTACTGGACATTCAGTTCAACCTCACTAATCCAGACTTACTGGACATTCAGTTCAACCTCAGTAATCCAGACTTACTGGACATTCAGTTCAACCTCTGTAATCCAGACATACTGGAAACACAGTTCAACCTCAGTAATCCAGACTTACTGGACATTCAGTTCAACCTAAGTAATCCAGACTTACTGGACATTCAGTTCAACCTCAGTAATCCAGACATACTGGACACATAGTTCAACCTCACTAATCCAGACTTACTGGACATTCAGTTCAACCTCAGTAATCCAGACTTACTGGACATTCAGTTCAACCTCAGTAATTCAGACTTACTGGACATACAGTTCAACCTCAGTTATCCAGACATACTGGACATACAGTTCAACCTCAGTAATCCAGACTAGGGAAATCACCATCTAAGTCTACAACATCTACACAACTCACTAGTATAACTTCCTTCCCTGACTTGAACTTGTAGCTGCCATCGTGACTGTTGACGGTCATCAAAGCCCTGCACAGGTGGTTCCCTGCATCCTGGATCTGCAACATGAGTGAGTGAGTGAGTGAGTGAGTGAGTGAGTGAGTGAGTGGGTGGGTGGGCGGGCGGGCGGGCGGGCGGGCGGGCGGGCGAGCGAGCGAGCGAGTGAGTGTACCCATGTTAGAAATCAAACCCAGGTTTTTGGCATGACAAGCACTTTACCCACTAAGCTAGCCCACAACCCATAATTTAGTGAGTGAGTGAGTGAGTGAGTGAGTGAGTTGGGTTGCACACTGATTTGACAAGTATCTCAGTCACCCCACTGTGTGTCAACTTGTTGTGGAGAGGAAGGCTGGAGTGCTTGCAGGTCTTCATCATAATCAGGGCTTTCAAACCCATAATCCTGGCATAATTCTGGAAAAATAATTGTGGCACCTCAGTGCTACACTTTGTGCAAGTGAGCACACTACCATCACAGCACTACCTTCCACCGAACCTCTACCATCACAGCTCTACCATCCCACACACACACTACCATCACAGCACTACCTCCCAAACACACACTACCATCACAGCTCTACCTCCCACACACACACTACCATCACAGTTCTACCTTCAACCCAACCTCTACCATCACAGCTCTACCTCCCCCACACCCACTACCATCACAGCTCTACCTCCCACACACCCACTACCATCACAGCTCTACCTCCCCCACACACACTACCATCACAGCTCTACCATCCCACCTCTACTATCACAGCTCTACCTCCCACACCCAAACTACCATCACAGCTCTACCATCCCACCACTACCATCACAGCTCTACCTCCCACACCGTAACTACCATCACAGCTCTACCATCCCACCACTACCATCACAGCTCTACAATCCAACCACTACCATCACAGCTCTACCATCCCACCACTAACATCACAGCTCTACCATCCCACCACTACCATCACAGCTCTACCATCCCACCACTACCATTACAGCTCTACCATCCCACCACTACCATCACAGCTCTACCATCCCACCTCTACCATCACAGCTCAAGCATCCAACCACTACCATCACAGCTCTACCATCCCACCACTACCATCACAGCTCTACCATCCCACCACTACCATCACAGCTCCACCATCCCACCTCTACCATCCCACCACTACCATCACAGCACTACCATCCCACAAATACCATCACAGCTCTACCATCCTACCTCTACCATCCCACCACTACCATCACAGCTCTACCATCCCACCACTACCATCACAGCTCTACCATCCCACCACTACCATCCCAGCTCTACCATCCCACCACTACCATCCCACCTCTACCATCCCACCACTACCATCACAGCTCTACCATCCCACCACTACCATCATAGCTCTACCGTCCCACCACTACCATTGTAGGTCTACCATCCAACCACTACCATCACAGCTCTACCATTCCACCATTACCATCACAGCTCTACAATCCCACCACTACCATCACAGCTCTACCATCCCACCACTACCATCACAGCTCTACCATCCAACCACTACCATCACAGCTCTACCATCCCACCACTACCATTACAGCTCTACCATCCCACCTCTACCATCACAGCTCTACCATCCCACCTCTACCATCCCACCACTACTATCCCACCACTACCATCCCAGCTCTACCATTCCACCACTACCATCACAGCTCTACCATCCCACCTCTACCATCCCACCACTACCATCCCACCACTACCATCACAGCTCTACCATCCCACCACTACCATCACAGCTCTACCATCCGAACACTACCATCACAGCTCTACCATCCAACCCCTGCCATCACAGCTCTACCATCCCACCACTACCATTACAGCTCTACCATCCTACCTCTACCATCCCACCACTACCATCACAGCTCTACCATCCCACCACTACCATCACAGCTCTACCATCCCACCACTACCATCCCACCTCTACCATCCCACCACTACCATCACAGCTCTACCATCCCACCACTACCATCACAGCTCTACCGTCCCACCACTACCATTGTAGGTCTACCATCCAACCACTACCATCACAGCTCTACCATTCCACCATTACCATCACAGCTCTACAATCCCACCACTACCATCACAGCTCTACCATCCCACCACTACCATCACAGCTCTACCATCCAACCACTACCATCACAGCTCTACCATCCCACCACTACCATTACAGCTCTACCATCCCACCTCTACCATCACAGCTCTACCATCCCACCTCTACCATCCCACCACTACTATCCCACCACTACCATCCCAGCTCTACCATTCCACCACTACCATCACAGCTCTACCATCCCACCTCTACCATCCCACCACTACCATCCCACCACTACCATCACAGCTCTACCATCCCACCACTACCATCACAGCTCTACCATCCGAACACTACCATCACAGCTCTACCATCCAACCCCTGCCATCACAGCTCTACCATCCCACCACTACCATTACAGCTCTACCATCCCACCACTACCATTGCAGCTCTACCTTCCCTGCCCCCACCCCCAGCGGTACTGACCTGCTGCAACTTCCACTGGGAGTCCTCCAGGATGCTGGTCTTGTAGATGTGATGCTCCTTCCCCTGTTTATGCTTGAAGTTGATGTCCTGCAACACAGGTTGCATCAGTCACACCATCGGAGTACGTAGTGGGTGGTGCTGTTGGGGGTAGTGGGTGGTAGAGTTGGGGGTAGTGGGAGCCAGGGTGCTCCAGTCACACCATCGGAGTACGTAGTGGGTGGTGGTGTTGGGGGTAGTGGGAGCCAGGGTACACCAGTCACATCATCGGAGTACGTAGTGGGTGGTGGTGTTGGGGGTGGTGGGAGCCAGGGTACACCAGTCACACCATCGGAGTACGTAGTGGGTGGTGGTGTTGGGGGGGGAGGGGGGGGAGCCAGGGTGCACCAGTCACACCATCGGAGTACGTAGTGGGTGGTGGTGTTGGGGGTAGTGGGAGCCAGGGTGCACCGGTCACACCATCGGAGTACGTAGTGGGTGGTGCTGTTGGGGGTAGTGGGAGCCAGGGTGCACCAGTCACACCATCGGAGTACATAGTGGGTGGTGGTGTTGGGGGGGGGGGGGGGGAGCCAGGGTGCACCAGTCACACCATCGGAGTACGTAGTGGGTGGTGGTGTTGGGGGGGGAGGGGGGGAGCCAGGGTGCACCAGTCACATCATCGGAGTACGTAGTGGGTGGTGGTGTTGGGGGGGGAGGGGGGGGAGCCAGGGTGCACCGGTCACACCATCGGAGTATGTATTGGGTGGTAGAGTTGGGGGTAGTGGGAGCCAGGGTACACCGGTCACACCATCGGAGTACGTAGTGGGTGGTAGAGTTGGGGGTAGTGGGAGCCAGGGTACACCGGTCACACCATCGGAGTACGTAGTGGGTGGTGGTGTGGGGGTAGTGGGAGCCAGGGTGCACCAGTCACACCATCGGAGTACGTAGTGGGTGGTGGTGTTGGGGGTAGTGGGAGCCATGGTGCACCGGTCACACCATCGGAGTACGTAGTGGGTGGTGCTGTTGGGGGTAGTGGGAGCCAGGGTGCACCGGTCACACCATCGGAGTACGTAGTGGGTGGTGGTGTTGGGGGTAGTGGGAGCCATGGTGCACCGGTCACACCATCGGAGTACGTAGTGGGTGGTGCTGTTGGGGGTAGTAGTGGGGGGTAGTGGGAGCCAGGGTGCAGCAGTCACACCATCGGAGTACGTAGTGGGTGGTGGTGTTGGGGGTAGTGGGAGCCTGGGTGCACCGGTCACACCATCGGAGTACGTAGTGGGTGGTGCTGTTGGGGGTAGTAGTGGGGGGTAGTGGGAGCCAGGGTGCACCAGTCACACCACCGGAGTACGTAGTGGGTGGTGGTGTTGGGGGTAGTGGGAGCCAGGGTGCAGCAGTCACACCATCGGAGTACGTAGTGGGTGGTGGTGTTGGGGGTAGTGGGAGCCAGGGTGCACCAGTCACACCACCGGAGTACGTAGTGGGTGGTGGTGTTGGGGGGGGAGGGGGGGAGTCAGGGTGCTCCAGTCACACCATCGGAGTACGTAGTGGGTGGTGCTGTTTGGGGTAGTAGTGGGGGGTAGTGGGAGCCAGGGTGCACCAGTCACACCACCGGAGTACGTAGTGGGTGGTGGTGTTGGGGGGGGAGGGAGCCAGGGTGCTCCAGTCACACCATTGGAGTACGTAGTGGGTGGTGGTGTTGGGGGGGGAGGGAGCCAGGGTGCATCAGTCACACCATCAGAGTACGTAGTGGGTGGTGGTGTTGGGGGTGGTGGGAGCCATGTTCCCTCCATGGCAAACATTTGGTGGATGTTATAGGACATATCCATGTGGGTAATATACATGACCAATTCTGCCCTCCATACACAATTTCTCCCTGTACCGATATATGATGAAGTTGTCTCCCTTGTCAAACTGCGCAAAGACCGGCTTTTGCTCGGCGCAACTAATTAAAATAATGAACTTTTATCAGTAAAGTATGCACATTTCGATAAAATGAATGACATCTGATATAGAGAACACAAATAATCAAAAAGGTTAGTGAGTGCATTTAGTTCCGTTTAGCGTACATAACATGTATATATAGGACATATCCAAGTGGGTACAATATAGGACATACCCAAGCGGGCACTATATAGGACATATCCAAGTGGGTACTACATAGGACATATCCAAGTGGGTACTATATAGGACATATCCAAGTTGGTACTACATAGGACATATCCAAGTGGGTACTATATAGGACATATCCAAGTGAGTACTATATAGGACATATCCAAGCGGGCACTATATAGGACATATCCAAGTGGGTACTATATAGGACATATCCAAGTGGGCACTATATAGGACATATCCAAGTGGGTACTATATAGGACATATCCAAGTGGGTACTATATAGGACATATCCAAGTGGGTACTATATAGGACATATCCATGTGGATACTATATAGGACATATCCAAGCGGGCACTATATAGGACATATCCAAGCGGGCACTATATAGGACATATCCAAGTGGGTACTATATAGGACATATCCAAGTGGGTACTATATAGGACATATCCATGTGGATACTATATAGGACATATCCAAGCGGGCACTATATAGGACATATCCAAGCGAGCACTATATAGGACATATCCAAGCGGGCACTATATAGGACATACCCAAGTGGGCACTATATAGGACATGTCCAAGTGGGTACTACATAGGACATATCCAAGTGGGTACTATATAGGACATATCCAAGTTGGTACTATATAGGACATATCCAAGTGAGTACTATATAGGACATATCCAAGCGGGCACTATATAGGACATATCCAAGTGGGTACTATATAGGACATATCCAAGCGGGCACTTTATAGGACATATCCAAGTGGGCACTATATAGGACATATCCAAGTGGGTACTATATAGGACATATCCAAGTGGGTACTATATAGGACATATCCAAGCGGGCACTATATAGGACATATCCAAGCGGGCACTATATAGGACATATCCAAGCGGGCACTATATAGGACATATCCCAACACTTACTGCTTCAAATATGGAGTCTCCTCTGAGGGTGACCATACACTTGATGTGCCCCGTGCCACTGAAACAGGGGAAAACATACAATACCTGCATTCCATCAAGTCACAACAAATTACGGAGGTCACACATTTTAAATGTTTCATTTCAGGGGCATGTCACCCCTGAAGAGCAGCTGGAAAATATATCAATTACATATATATATTTCTTTTTATCATCTCCCGCTGGTAATATAGACCCACTAACACAATATAAAATGTTATATATAAATTCCATGTGTACATCACTATCAGTGATTCAAGAAGCCAGCTGCAGTTTTAACTCCATGGCAGAATGACTTTCATATAAATAAATAAATGATTGATATAGCTATTTATTTATATTTTTATTTCTACCAAGCTTGTGTGGAAATCCTGGAATAATTCCGTGCAACATAAAATTATGAAAGTGTGGCCTTATTCATTCTTTGGAATCTTCTGTCAAAAACATAAGCTTGTTTACCGCTAGGCAGTTAGGTGGAGAGAGATGCTAACACTTCCCAGCTATACAGAAGTACACACTATTACTCTTTATTTTTGCATCGAAAGTTTGGACTGGGTTATCGTGTCTGCGCAACCTGGTCACGGATGTGAGATTTCCCTGTCTCCACTTACTTTGGGCTATTCATAAGTATCCCCTGTGCCTTGATCTGCCGCAGGTCCGTCACTGGGGAAACACGAGACAAAACAATGTTCTCATCTCCCACGTAATTTGTCACATCCTCCGTTCTCTAGTGTATCATATCTCCATTCTATTATGACAAGGTCAGACCTTTTCAAAAACTTGGTTTATGACTCCAAAAAATTGAAATTCACAAAAGAAGTGTTGTTTTTATTCTGCCACTCACAAATAAGTAAAATGTTAAAAAAAATCAACTACTGTCACTATTATTGCCAAAAAATATTTAGAATACTGCAATTGAACAAAGTATGACAAATCTTGAAAGGAAATAAAAAAACATATTTGACATCTGAATTTTATAAATTTTTTAAAGACCAACTGACATGAATTTGGGGGCCAATAATCCATAAAAAAAACAAAGAAAAAGTCTGACCTAAATATCCTGGACACGTTCACTGGACCACTGTCACGGTGAGCCCAATGTCAACACAACACTACACAAGTCAGATCACTCTCAGGATTGGGAATAATTCTGTTACTTTTGTGACAAGAGTGACAGACATGGTGATATGTTGTGTGAAATCTACTGATAAGCAGCATATTTGCATAAAATACCCCCCAAAATTATTCAAAACCAAATTACTTTCAATTAACTTACATACAGAAATGCATGCATATAATGAATAACTCAAATGTATAAAAACAGCTCGCGTAAATACCCAATGAAGCTTTTTCAGCATGCGTACAAATGAGCTAATTTCCGAAACACAATTACGAGCAAATTTACTTTCCGAGTCAAGCCTATATATTTAGAACAGTTTTATACATCTAAAACATTATTACATTTTTTTTAAATGTTCACTAATTTTTGTTAAAACCCAATACAGTAATAAATAGATTAGTGAAAACATATTGGTTACCCAATGAAAAATGTAATAACCCAAATAAGATAGAAACCCTGGAGTAAAAACTCAATTGCTCAAATAGTTATCTGGAGCTCTGGATAAATATATCATAAATCACAGTGCTTATTTTCCAAAGAAGTCAGGTTGTCTTGTTCAGGTGTTCTGGCAACACTGTGTGCCCCAATACCCAATGGAACAACTCAGAAGACGTCCCTGCCTTACATTCTGTGGACCGATGAAGTAACGTTCATGGCTTCATTCCATCGCCTTGTGTTCTGTGACAGCGCCACCAAGAGACTTCAGTTAAATTGATTAAATTAGATTAAATTATTTGAGGCAGCAAGTAAAATAAAACCCAAAGCCTTCAGTACAGACTTCAGAGGAGATTGAGCCGTGTATATATTTCAAGCAAGCTTCTTTTAACATCTCTTTCAACAGCAGCCGAATCTGCTCTGAACAAAGAACATCTCTTGGGCAATCAATTTGTTTTTCACATTTCTGGTGAGATATGTTCCGAAATCGCAGGACCAAAATTTAATCATGATTCCAACAAAAAGTGTAATTCTGAAAGTCATGAAAACCTCGCACCAGATGAAGGCCATTCTTGGTCATATCCGTTAAAACGGAACTTGGAAATACTCATGCTGCACCCAATGATTCGAATAGCTCGGCTGGTGAATGTGAGATATAACCATGCATTTATCCCACCTGTCTCAAAGCATTTATACTGCTCAAAAGAAGTTAAACACCTCCCGATTCTTTCATATTACAATAGTTAATCTGTTGGGTGGTCCTTAACTTTATTTTTGTAGTATATCTGGTACCAACTTCGACTGGAGTAGGTCCGATAGTTTTTCAGATATTGTAGTAAACGTCGGTACCTTTAATTACCTTCCAGGCCATTGAGTGCATCATGATACTAGCTACAAGACTCGAGCATCGTTTCCGCAGGCGATAATAGAAGACAGAGCCTCAGGAATTTCACAATTTCTTAGGAGTGAGTGAGTATGGTTTTACGCTGTTTTTAGCAATATTCCAGTAATATCATGGTGGGGGGACACCAGAAATGTGCTTCACACATTCTAACCTTATGGGGAATAGAACCCAGGTCTTTGCGTGATGAGCAAACGCTTTAACCACTAGGCTACCCGACCGCCCCTCAATTTCTCTGGAAGGAGGAATCAAACAAATGTCTTTGTACATATCTTTTATCTTTATTCAGGACACCTAGTACTTTCACAAAACCTGCATCCAAATTATACATTCCTGTTTATTCTGGAATGAAGAACATGAAACATTTGGTCCTGTACCATGTTACTGTGGTACCAAACTCAACTAATTACAATTTCCAGTATTAAACTTCTGGTAACCATGGAAACTCACCATTATCTCCATTTGGTAAGGTCTGAATGGGGAACCGCTTACTGCATTCCTGGAAAAAGACAAGGAACAGATTACCAAACACATTTCCAGGAACCGTTACAGACTAAATAATCACATCAACAAATGCAACATCGCAGATTGATACTCGTACAAGTCCCGGACAAGTGTCCAGCTAACAAACTGACCCATCATTGTATGATTAACATGATTACCGTATTCGATGTAATAAGCGCCCAGGGCGCTCTCAAAATTAGAAATAGGGGGCTCTTATTAGAATATTATTTTGGTGAAAAAAACAGAGTTGAAAGATGAATTTCGTGGTCTATGGTGACAGCCTGAAATGTTTATGTACCCATAATTTAGGGTGCATATAACACACGAGTGTGTATTATACGCGAATAAATAAGTCTTGTGTACATTGATCAATCGGAAGGGGTGCTAATTGGGATTGTTCACCAGCCAATATATCAGCAAATATCGCCGTGGGCGCTTATTAGAGCGGGGCGCTTATTACGTCGAATACGGTAGTTACCTTGAAATTTTATCATAGAACTGAAACTAGTAGGAAAACTCATCAAAAGTTATATCTGAATACAGAAAATAATGGTATAAGTTGTAGCAGAATCACTTGGGTTACATGGCGTTTCATGCGTCCTGCATTGCGTTCTATCCCACGAGCCCGAGGCGAGTGACATAAAACCTAACGAGGGATGCATAAAATCACGTGTACCCCAAGTGATCCTGCTACAACAAATTTTTCTTACCGACATGTTTTAATAATTATGACATTAATTTCCTTTTTTTTTTTTTTTAAATTCAAAATTTATAGAAAAGAGCTGAGGTTAAAGTATGATGCGTTTTGCTTTGAAGCGGAATTTATTCTGCCTCAGAAATACACATGCAGTCTGACTTGCTCGTGGCGGGGTATAAGGGATTTATTCGCCTGCTGCAAACTTTATTTCCCTCCATGGCAGGAAACATCATATTTTATCAAGATCACGTAGACCAATCAGATCTCATCATTCTGACACGGAGGTATGATCATTTTTTTCACCAAACAACCAACCAGTTTCTGATGAAATCTGATTGTTTTTCTTAATTATTTATAAACATACTATTTAGCCAGATTTACAAAGCTAATTAACAAAAAGAATTCAAAAATATTCTAGTTATATTTTCAAGCCTTCATATACAAGTACCATTTTGCATCAATGCTCTCACTAAACCCATTGTATGTCGCAGCTAGTCGCTACGTGGTTGTTGTTTTACGGCACACTAAGCAACATTCCAGCTTACAGAAAACAAGAGCCACAGAATCACAGAGCTTATAGACTTCTGACAAGGCAAAATTAGTTTGTTGTTTGTTTGTTGTTTAATGCCACACTCAGCAATATTCCAGCTATATGAAGGCAGTCTGTAAATAATCAAGTCTGGACCAGATATCCAGTGATTGATATCATGAGCATTGGGATACAATGACATGCATCAACCAAGTCAGTGAGCCTGACCACCAGATCCCATAAGTCGCCTTTCATGACAAGCAAAGTCGGCTTATATAATTTTGATGCCATGGGTACAGTTAGATTCCTGCACCCAGGTTCCGCAGCGATGGTTCCGCAGCGATGGTGTCACAATCAGGATGGATTAGCAGCACAGTACAAATGTTGCATTACACAGGGTCATGTTGCTCAAAGGTTCCAAGGAAAGAGGTATTACCCCAAAAAGGGATTTTATTCTCTAGTCAGCAACTTCAGCTGTCTCATGACAAACTCAAAGTCAGTTTTAGTCCAGTGTTGGAAACCAGTGGTTGATAGAGTGAACATTGACCCATGTCGCTGAAATAGGACGACGGACGGTATGGGCCATCACAACTGTGGAGGAGGAGGATTATATGAAATAACAGCCAGTCAGCAGATCAACCCTTGCAGGGGGAGGAGGATTATATGAAATAACAGCAAGTCAGCAGATTATCCGTTTTGATGGGGGTAGGGAGGGAGTAGAATGGTATGAAATAACAGCCAGATAACACCACTTGTTTCGTAACAACGACCAACCAAATGTAATCAACCCATTACTCAAATTTTCAAAAGTGAGTGAATGAAACTAGTGATCGATAGTGTAGCAGGGTGTGGAGTAATCCCACAGATGGACATCCTTACTTTGTCAGCTTGCTGATGGGGTTAATCTCTTTGGTCATGTAGACAAGGCGTCCGACATCTGATCATAAGGTCCGTGGTCCGAATCCCATCATGGGACTCGGACATTTTATGGCAGCTACAATAGCATGAACACGTGAATCCCATCATGGGACTCGGACATTTTATGGCAGCTACAATAGCATGAACACGTAACCACATGGTTGGGACTCACATCTGGTCTTCCCGGCAGGCAAACTAGTGATCGATAGCATGAACATCAAACCACATGGCGGTCATGACTCACATCTGGTCTTCTATGACATTAATATACTTCCTTTTCCACAACATTAAATTTGTGATTTTCATTTATTCATTAGAAGTTACTGTATACAAGAAATAAAAAAACACCTGCACCATGTCTAAAATTTGGTGGTCGGGTAGCCTAGTGGTTAAAGCGTACGCTCGTCACGCAAAAGAACCGGGGTCAATTCCCGACATAAGTACATTGTGTGAAGCCCATTTCTGGTATCACCGCCGTGATATTACTTGAATATTGCTAAAAGTGGCGTAAAACTATACTCACTCACTCACTCACTCTAAAATTCCATTCATGTGTGGAACATATCAATTTGATGAAAACTGTCGGCCCCACATCTTCTCTTATCAACCCTCTTCATCAACACATAATAACTAATTAACACTGACCCAAGATAACAAGTCCCCCCCCACCGAGTCCCCCCCCACCAACCGCTGTTCCCTGGGACTAGCTCTTACATTCCTCACCAAGGATATTTAACTCAAGTTCTTCACGATTAATCAATCACACTTTCACCACTTTCAGACGTCCTTGCAACTTTTTTCAAATAGATTCCATGATTAACAGCCTGAATTGTGTTGAGAGTACAAACGACATTGTGAAAAACATGTCAAAATGCATGACAGCCTCACTTAATTCCATCGTAATATAAAGTCACTGAACACAGGAACCTTGTTTCATGATTTCCATGTTTAAGCCACGTCCACTCAAAATAGATTCCCTCGGAGCTCCGTGTATAAAGCTCTGTATTGATTCCCCTACATCCACCAGATCTATACCAGGGCAACACTCCGGCCCCAATACAGACAGCAGCTGTAGAGAACATCAATAATATAGGTTTTGCATGAAGTGGTCGTTTATGTGCCATACTTCCAAGCAGCTTAAATTAGGTATTTTAGGAAGATTCCTTTCAAGATGAAGTCAGTGAGTGTTATGCCACTGGGTGTTACATAATATAGGCCTTGTAGTTGCATTGAGCAGGAGGACATTGCAAGTCACTAGCATGGAACAGACAAACCTGTGATTGATATTATGAGCAACATCATCAGGGTTCTAGGACATGCAAGTCACTAGCATGGACCAGACAAACCTGTGATTGATATTATGAGCATCATCATCAGGGTACTTGGACATGCAGGTTCCCAAGTCTTGACCAGACAAACCAGTGGTTGATATTATGAGCATCATCATCAGGGTACTAGGACATGCAAGTCACCAAGTCTGGAACCAGTGGTTGATATTATGAGCAACACCATCAGGGTACTAGGACATGCAAGTCACCAAGTCTGGAACAACCAGTGGTTGATATTATGAGAAACACCATCAGGGTTCTAGGACATGAGGGTTACGTAGTCTGGACCAGACAACCAGTGGTTGATATTATGAGCAACACCATCAGGGTTCTAGGACATGAGGGTTACGTAGTCTGGACCAGACAACCAGTGGTTGATATTATGAGCAACACCATCAGGGTTCTAGGACATGAGGGTTACCAAATCTGGGCAAGACAAACCAGTGATTGATGTGATGAGCACCATCACAATGACATACAAGTCACCAAGTCTTGACTAGACAAACCAGTGACTGAAGCTATGAGAAAAACCCCAAACTATCAGGGTATAGTCTGACCACCAGGTCCAGTTAGTTGCCTCGTACATCAAGCGCGAGTCTGTTCTAACTCAGGAAAGGGATTCAGCAGTGGAGAACACCATCGAAACTCTACTTCCATGCATTATTTGTCAAAACGACAAAACCAGGAATTTATCTTGGATTCCAAACTAAGTTCCCTTTGCAGGCAAATTGGAAAAAAATATTTAATTTGTTCAAAATTGTGATTTTTTTTAAGTTCTTATTTTCATATTTTCAGTGGTATTTTAACATTGCATGTAACACTGCATTCAGTACAAGCAGGTAAAATTTTGCCTCTTCCTAGTTTTGGGTCCTGTTGACAGTGACATAGAAGGGGGATTGAGGGGGTTCGAGGGGGGCACTACGTCAATGTTGTCAGTGAAATACAAGGGGGATTGAGGGGGTTCGAGGGGGGCACGACGTGAATGTTGTCAGTGACATACAAGGGGGATTGAGGGGGTTCGAAGGGGGGCACGACGTGAATGTTGTCAGTGACATACAAGGGGGATTGAGGGGGTTCGAAGGGGGCACTACGTCAAAGTTTACAGTGACATACAAGGGGGATTGAGGGGGGTCGAGGGGGGCATGACGTCAATGTTGTCAGTGACATACAAGGGGGATTGAGGGGGTTCAAGGGGGGCACGACGTGAATGTTGTCAGTGACATACAAGGGGGATTGAGGGGGTTCGAGGGAGGCACGACGTGGATGTTGTCAGTGACATACAAGGGGGATTGAGGGGGTTCGAGGGGGGCACGACGTCAATGTTGTCAGTGACATACAAGGGGGATTGAGGGGGTTCGAGGGGGGCAGGACATCAATGTTGTCAGTGACATACAAGGGGGATTGAGGGGGTTCAAGGGGGGCACGACATCAATGTTGTCAGTGACATACAAGGGGGATTGAGGGGGTTCGAGGGGGTTCGAGGGGGGCACTACGTCAATGTTGTCAGTGACATACAAGGGGGA